GAAAATGTGATAAAGTAGAATTAATTACATTGATTACGCAATTACAAGTTCCTTCCGGAGCTTCGCTCCGCCGCTCTACTCGATACCCTCGGTACTCGCACCGAGAGTCGCTAACTTACTTCTAGCGCTGGACGCCGGTCATACGCTACAGCACGAGCCCCGACCTTCCCCGCGGTATCTTCCGACGGTGTCAAACGCCCGCCCCTCGACAACCGGCAAGAACCCGTACCCGCTGTACCACCGGACTCCCGGACGTGTAACGCCGGCCCGCGGCCGACGTCACGGCGATGGTGCGACGTGATTATAGCGACCGCCTCGATGCGACACGACTCTACTCGACACGTGAATCCCGAAAATGGACTCTACTCGGTCACCACTACCGGAAGTTAGCTCGGCAACGCGACAGTCCGCGTTCCGACGCGACAGCACAATGCTCGGTGACGCAATTATAGCAAGCGTACCTACGCGACGCGATACTAAACGATAACGCAACTGCAATAAGCGTCGTTACGCGACACGACGAGACTCGACAACGTGACTACTCTACGCGTTTCTACGCGACTCTACTATACTCGGAAACCGGAAGTGACTCTCATGTGGCGAGGGGAACGAGCGCGACTCGGCTCTCGATTCTCCCCTCTAATTTACGACTCTAATTTACATCAACTCGGCAATGAATATTATTCCCTTTACTCTAACTCCCGAAACGCGACAGCTAATTATCCCCAAGGCTCGGGAGGATGACACGTGGCTCGCGGTTCCGCGACTCATCGCCACGGCGATGGTGCGACGTGATTATAGCGACCGTCTCGATGCGACACGACTCTACTCGACACGTGAATTCTGGAAACTTCATTACGCCGATCTCTCGTTACGATGCGAGCTGGCTTACGTGCGATCCACCCGGCGACGTACTTCGGTCGGCAGCTTTACAAGCGACGACGCTCGTCTCACCCTCGTCGTCTCCTTCGTCCTCCCGGCCTCCTCTCGCTAATCTCTCGATGGTCCTTTGCGTTTTTTTTTGAGACTCGACAACGTGACTACTCTACGCGTTTCTACGCGACTCTACTATACTCGGAAACCGGAAGTGACTCTCCTGTGGCGAGAGGAGCGAGCGCGACTCGGCTCTCGATTCTCCCCGAACGACTGTAATTTACCTCGCTGATTGGCTTCCGCGTGTCACGATATCCGCGCGTGCCGTGCAGGCCCGCGCGGCCTTGAATTCTGGCTCGCACGAGCTCGCAATGAATGTCCCTGACAAGGGTGGCGTCTCAGCTCACGGCCCCTGCACTTCCTGGCCTGGCGGAGGAGATCGATCTAATTATCTCCAAGGCTCGGGAGGATGGCACGTGGCTCGCGGTTCCGTGGCTCTACACGGCGGTCATTACGCCGATCTCTCGTTACGACGCGAGCTGGCTTACGTGCGATCCACCCGGCGACGTACCCCGGTTGG